AACAATGAGAACACATGGACACAGGGAGGGGAGCACTACACACTGGGGTCAGTTGGGGGGAAATAGGGGAGGGTTGGTGGGGGGTGGGGAGTTGGAGAGAGATAGCAAGGGGAGAGATGCCAGATGTAGGTGATGGGGAGGAAGGCCGCAAATCACACTGCCACGTGTGTACCTATGCAACAATCTTGCATGTTCTTCACATGTACCCCAAAACCTAAAATGCAATTAAAAAAAAGAAAGATATGTTTTTCCTGTGTTTTAGACGCAGTCTTACTGATAATTATCATATGCCCGTATATGGCTGGAAATATCTGTTTCTAGATTCTCCAAAGAAAGGGTTTCTGAACTTTTGCATACCCACATCAGTTTCACTCTGTAAGCCGAATGTACACCTTGACATCCATTGTGCTAGATAGCTCCGTTTTTGTTTTAGAGCCAGATATTACTCATTAGAGTCCATAGTCCCATTCACTCTGGAATATACAAACGGAGCTTTTACAAGAAACGTGTTTCTAACTTGCTGAATCTAAACATAGACGCAACTTCCTACAGTGAACGAATATCCAGCAGAGCAGTTTGAAAGATATGTTTCTCCTGTGTTTTAGAATCAGTATTACTGCTAATTCTTATATGCCTGTATATGGCTGGAAATATCTGTTTTTAGATTCTCCAAAGAAATGGTTTCTGGACTGGTGCATACATACATCAGTTTAACTCTGTAAGTTTATTATAAACCTTGAGAAACATTCCTCTCGATAGCTCCGTTTTTGTTTTAGAACCAGATATTTCTCATTAAAGCCTATACTCCCATTCACTATGGAATATCCAAACGCAGCTTTTAGAAGAAACGTGTTTCTAACTCGCTGAATCAAAACATAGATGAAACTTCCTAAGGTGAATGAACACATAGCAGAGCAGGTTGAAAGAGACGTTTCTCCTTTGTTCTAGACGCAGTCTTACTGCTAATTCTTATATGCCTATATATGGCTGGAAATATCTCTTTCT